ACATGTGCATTCTTCTCAGCAAAGATGACTGTGACCAAACCTTTCAGTTCAAGTTTAGTGTGCACACAGACAGCAAATCTGGCCCTTGGTCTTTTAAAACAAACTGCATGTGATATGTGCAGGACAGATCGGAGCATGGAACAGAGTTCATACAATAGTGAATAGTCGCTTGCCCTTAGAGACGCTTGCCCTCACATATGAACTTGTTTTATCTACCTTTTTTACTCTAATAGGAAACATAAATTACAAGATGAACTTTATTTTAAATAAAACACAACCTTTGGAAAGACAGTACTGTATTTATTCTCAATCAAAAACAAATGGCAAGCACACATGCAAACACATACACTCAAAATATACAGACAAACATAGAGAGAATTCATTCACCAACTCCAAAGGGAGCACCACTGGGAAAGGTCAGGCAGCACTTTGGATGAGCAACAATAGAGAGGGCATACTGTGAAAACAGAGAGAGGCACAAGGATGACACAAAGGAAGATGAGAATTAAAAGCAAGGAAATAGATCAGGGAATAACAAGGGTGGAACGGAAAGGTCTGGTGCAGAAATGTTATACCTTCAGTTGCTGCAGATGCAGTTTTGTTATCGATAGCTGTTTAGACTAGACGAAGAGAAAGCATTTACATTTAGAAAACCGATAAGAGATGTTTTCCTATAGAGAAAAATACTAAAAATATTGATTTGTTATAACTGATGGATACTGAGCTGAGGGCACATAGGGAGCTCCATGTATGAAGGCAACTGCTTCAAAGTTTTTTCCAGAAAACTCAAAAATAAGGACTATCAAGTTTAGCTGGTTAAAGCAAGAAAGAACAGCAAACGAGCTAAATGTGCCCTTTGTCAAGCATGCAATCAGATATGTTAGAAGTTTAAACCACCATAAGAAGAACAGCGTATCATTGCCCTATGTAGCTTCATACACAAATACATTTAGTAGTATGTGTTCAGTATGATGATGATTAAGAGTACTGACCTTGACTTTGAGGTTGAGGTTACTAAGATTCAAACTCCTTTTTTTGGTACCCTACCTGCTGTATTTATCTTTTTGTTGTTGTTGTTGTTCTGTTTTGTTGTTACCCCTACCCCCCTGTATAGTCTTTAAAGACAAATAATAAAAAGAAAGTTAAAAAAAAAAAGAAAAGAAAAAGAAAGAAAAAGATTCAAACTCATCAGAGAGTTTTAGTGGATGCACAAATAATAATATGAAATTGTATGAATTTCAAATGCCTGCATCGCCTGATTCTTGAGCTATTGCTTTCACACACCTGGATGTACAGCAGTAATTTGCCTTTATCTGTGAAGTCCTATACTGTGAAAACTAAATATGCTGACATTAGTCGGTACCCCTTGTTTCCACCATGCT